GGTCGAGTGTAGGGACGGTTCCCGCTTCCGTGCAGAGTCGGCGCTCGCCGTCGCCGAACGGGGCGGCAGCGGCCCCGTGTCTCGGGTGCTGTCATCCCCGATCCGTGGATCTGGCGGCCACGCGGCAGACCCACGGATTTCTGGTTTTAAGTCGGGCCTGTACCTCTACAGGGGTGATGGTCAAAAATAGTCAAAACATAGTCTGGGGACGATTTTTTGATTATTCTTTGGCCATTCGGGGGTATTTTTTGACTACTTTTGAATTTTTCGTCCAAAGTCCCCCTGTAGGGGGACACGCCCGACCTGATGCCAGCGTGCGCCCGAGGGAGGGGGCCCTCCGGTTTTCGGGCCGCTCCTCGGGCGCTCGCGGCCGAGGCACGGCGGCCGTGCTCGGCCGCTAGCAGCCAGAATAGCGAGGGCCAGCCCGCCGCTCACAGGAGGCCGGTCAACGTCGGTCGAGTTCGCATCGGGAGCCTTGAGACGGGGTTCAATGCAAACGGGGGTCAGCCAGAGCGCCCGATCTTGCAGGATCCTGCACGAGCAGGGTTGCATTGACCCTGGTTTGGGTGCAGGATCCTGCAGGATCCTGCAGGATCCTTCGTATTGACCCAGGTTTGGGTGCAGGATCTTGCAGGATTTTGCAAGATTTTGCAAGGCCTGGCTGACCTGGGTCTGGATTGACCCGGGTCAGAAGATCCCCGATCGCATGGGTTTGTACCCCAGCTTTTCGGTCCGGTCGCGAGCGAGTCGTGACGTGTCGCACGCCCGTGTGGTTTTTGCAGCTTCGGTGGCAGCGAGGGTTGCCCTGCAGGAGCGAAACCTGCCGCCCTCCTCGCGGTGGCGCCTCCCTCCGACCCCTGTGGGGCTGAGGAGGCTTGGGGTTTCCCTAACGGGAGCTAAGGGTTGGCGGGTCTTTCTCTATTCTCTCCCCCTTCCCCGCTCCCACGCACGCCGTGCTTCGCAACACGTCCAACAACGTCCTCCTTGGCGTTCAATGTGCTGGCACGGTGATTGTAGTCTCGCTGTCTGCAATTCTATCGGTGCGTGCCGACACTAGCGGGCAGCTCACGGCTGCCAGCTCGGACAGGTGGTAGGTTCTTTGTTTTGTCTTCGAATCTTCGGTATGCAGGGATTCGCGTTTCTTGAGCAGGGGCGTCAGCAGCATGGCTCTCAGTTTTCGCACCGAAAGCGTGACACAATCTTTGGTGTTGAAGGACAGTCGTCAATTTGAATCGCCTGTTAAGGATTTCAGAGGCAACTGCCTTCGCCCTCGATTGCTGCCGCTCACACTTGGTGGAGTCGGGGGAGGAGGACGATCAGGGGATGGAGGCGCAGGAGTTGCAAGGGGCGGGCGCAGGAGAGGAAGGAGGAGCAGCAGCAACATCATCGCGAACAGGAGGAGTCTGTTCCGCTGCATCTTGCCTGGCCACCAGGGCGATGCCAGAAAATGGGGCCGTCTGCGCCGACACTGGCGCGCAAGCTGCCCGCGCAAGCTGCCCGCGCAAGCTGCCCGCGCAAGCTGTCCGCGCAAGCTGCCCGCGCAAGCGCCCTCGTCTCCAATGACGCGTGTCGCGCTGGCGGTCCGCACAAGCCGCCGCGCAAGGTTGCCACGCCATCTCTCGCGTAAGAGCCCTTTCTCCTCGTCGCCCAGGAGGAGTCTGCTCCGCTGCATCTTGCATGGTCGCCAGACTGGGGTCGTACGGGCCTTGGAAAAAATAGCGAACACTCATGCCACATTCATCTGTGAACGCCTCCCCCTCCCCCCAATGTTCAAAGTTGGCGGTGGGTCTGATGAGTTGCACCTCGGCCGCAGTCTCCCCCGCGCGTGCCAACATTGAGTTCTGGGGGGCAGGGGGGGTGCTCATTCATTCTTTCCCTCTGCCGTATTATGGCCGCGAGCACGCGGGTCAGGAGCATGGCCCCCCCCCCTTGCGGAAGGCCCCGGGGCCCCCACGGAGTTGCCCGCAGCGGGGAGCGCCCGCGCGGCGGCGAGCCCGCGCGCGGAGAGCGTCGGGGCACCCCTCCAGAGCTGAGGTGAAGTCGGGCATGCCCCTCGACGGGAGGAACATTCAGAGATAGTAAGAGGATCGTCTTTGGACGAGTTTCCGAGTATTCTTCATGTATTTTCAGGATCGCTTGACTTTTCTCATGTTTCCTCCGGAATCCGCCAGTAGGGGACGTGCCCGACCTCAAGCCAGGGTTGCTCTTACAGGGGAGGCCCATGCCAAGAAGCACCCTGCTTGCCTCCAGGGTGCCCTGGGTTTCCTGGGTTTCGAGGGTTTTGCTCTGGAAGGCGTGAGGCTCCCTCGCCAAACATCGATGGACGTCCTGGGGTCACAGGGTTGGGTTTCTTGTGGGGGGTCTCCTGTTGTCGGGCCCCTGCTGTAACCTTCGCGCCGACTTCAGCACGATACGCGTTCTACCCTGGGGGACCATGACAAGAAACACCCTACGTTTCGTCAGGGTTCCCTGGGTTTCTTTGGCTGGCGTTCGGCGCGGAAGGTCGCAGCAATTTCGAAGAAACTGCAAATGCCAGGGCACCCAGGGTGTCTTGGACGTCGGTCAGTTTTCGGGGCGCGCGCCCGAACCTCCAAGAAACTTTCGGGCATTCGGGGTACCTCGGGTTTCTTCGCCCGCAACTTGTATTGTTTGCCCCGCGTTGCCCATCCACCCGCGGGGGTTCGCCAGTCTGTCAAGTTGGCGCTGGAACATTTCGGTTTCGGGGCGCATGCCCGAAAGTGGGTGCATTTCGGGGCGCATCTCTTGATGTCAAATTGCTTGACGCCATCAGTCAATAAACCGCTCGGGCCAGGGTGCCCTGGGTTTCTTCGTTTGCAGCCGAAGTGCAAGACACCCAACCCTGGATCACGAAACCTCTGCGGATTTTTTAGGGTTGGGTTTCTTGCAGTGGATTTCTTGTGCATCGACCCCCACTGTAGGGCGCCACGAGGGCCGGAGTCTGCCAGCATGCGCGGTGGAGTCTGGCCCTCGCCCCGCCCTCCAGAGCGTGCCCAGGTGCAGCCAGCCGCCAGCGTGCCCACCCGTGCCGCGTCGCGCGGTCCGTGCGCGACCTCCTCGACGCTGCTCCTGCCTCGTCCCCCCTTCCCCCCTCCTCCCCCTCTCGCCCCCTCCGCCCCCCCCCCTGCTTCCTCGTCCTCCCCCTTCCCCCTCCTCCCCCTGCCGCCCCCGCCGTTCCCCCCTCCCCCCGTACCTCCAGGACCCCTCTCCCTTCCTCCTGGCGCAAACTCGGCCTGAGCTGCGAGCTGGACAGATTTTAGGGAGCGAGCCTCCATGTCCTGCAGGTAGCAGCGCGCGTATGATCACGAGCAAGTTTCGGTTTCTCTCTCTGTCATGCTTCTGAAGATTCTGGTGCAGCCTACCACCAGTCAGGGTTTAACTCCTCTCGCAAGCTTCTGCATGCCTTGCGCAGCACAGCACCCAGAACATCCCAGAGGCCAGGGCCTTCCCGACCTGGCCTCGGCCAGGGGCAGAGCAGTCCGCGCTGGTGGCCGCCCGCTCGCCCGCCCGCCCCTCCCCCCCCCCGCGCCTGCCCTTCCTCGCTCGCTTGCCGAGGATGGTGTGGCTGATGGTCAGCTCCACCTTCAACCACCTGGACGGCTTCCACGGCACCGCGTTGTACAGCGCCTTCCTGCGCGCCATGGGAGCCGAGGCGCCCGCCCCGTCGCCTCCCCGCCTGGCTGGAAGGAGGCGGGGGGAGGGAGGGGGGGGGGGGGGCAACGAGCCAGCCAGGGCTCGTGTCGATTCCTCCGCTTCGACCCGATTCGGTTATGGCCTCTGATTCCGACTCGGTTCGACTTCGGATTCCGATTCGGTGTTCCGATCTTTCAGTGGAGGACTACTGGCCCGCCGATTTTCGCCGATGTGACTTCTCCCGACTCGGCTGCCGATTTCCGCCGATCCGTATCATTTCGATCGCCGATCCGACTTGTCGATTCGGTTCTGGACTTTCCTGACGATCTCCGACGGGCTAGGCTGATGTGGGGGGGAGGGTCGAAGGGAAGTCGCAGCCGAGGAGGAGGAGGAGGAGGATGAGGAGGATTTGACCCGACACCGTGCCTTGGTGATGAGACCGCCACGGACGACCAGCCTGGGGTGGCCTGGAAGAGGACCCCTGGCGGTGGAGGTGGAGGTGGAGGAGGAGGAGGAGGAGGAGGAGGAGGAGGAGGAGGAGGAGGAGAAGGAGGAGGTACACCCAAGGTGTAGCAACGATGCTGCAATCCGCTCTTCCGTCCCAAGGGTTCTTCTGGCATCACTTTTTTCAGTCCCTGCGGGCATTCTAGTTCGTTGCGCGAAGCGCCCCCCTTGAAAGAAGAGCGCCCATGGGTCCGCAGCTCAGGGGGAGCTCCGTACTTCGAGCTATACAGAATGCGACAGGGTGGGGTCCCGCAGGGCAATGCACACTGTGCCGCCATCCATCGCTGCATCCGCTGCACATATTGCGCATGCGGTATTGGTGGCGAGTACTTCTCAGCCGCGCCATCCGTGGGTAAGACGAGCGTCCACAGCGCCATGGTGCGAGCACCATTTTGAACACGGCTCGCCTGCCAGTTGTTGGAAACGTTACGCTTCACAACTGTACATGGTAAAGGAGTCTTCGGCAAAATTCCTGGCCCGCCCTCTCGACACGTCTGGTGGTATGGCCGGGACGAGTTATTGAGAAGGAAGGGTGATGGAGGGATGAGAGGGGAATGCGACCCATGAGCGGGCAGGGATTCTCCTCCCATGGATGGGACCAGCGCGTAGCAGCGCAAACCGGTTCCCGAGCATGCAACGACAGTTTGTCGTCGACAACTTCGTAGCGACCGCGATACTCTGACGGATTGCACGCGCCGAGGTGGAACGTTTGTGTGAGAGGAAGAATGTGTTGTCCAGGTGTGAAGACGGAGTCCGGAGAAGCGCCGATGACGTTCGAAGGAATATGCTGCAGAGGAGGGGAACCCCTGGTAGGATGGAGGTGGGCTGACTGGCGTTGCCGAGCGGCACGTCGTGTGTCGGATGCCCTGCCTTCAAAGTGATGCCAGCGGGTTCGTCAGATTTTCGGTTTCGTTGGCTGCCACGTGCTTCGTATTGCGTTTCCTTCACATCGGTGTTTTTTGGTTCCTGGTTCTCTATCGGAGTGTTACAGTGTCTACTGATCATGGGTGTCAAACTGGTTTCAACATGCCTGCCATTGGTTTCTTGCATCACCAATCTAACTCTTCGCACTGTGGCCGCAGAGGCACGCAGCACAGCAATTTCTGCACGCTTCGCGTACCGGACCAGCCGCCAATTATCTGTCGCTGTGCCCCAGCCTCGGTCACTCCGCCCTCTGGACTTCTCCTTGCGGGCCGCGAATCAAATAAAAAGTACCGGACCAGCCGATTCAGAAACAAACCTTAAGCGAGTTGTCGTGAGAAGGGAATTCAAATGGGGACCAGGCTGGTGAAACACAGGGGATGACACCAGTCAAACCCAAGGAACGATCAGCCTGAGCAGCTCCAAACATTCCCCGCCTGGGTCCACTGGGGCATTTTGAGGACCTCTTGGCGGCATCTTGTGGCGTTCGTGGGGCCCTTTTGCGAGCCATGGCCGTCTTGGAGTCGCGCCGAAGGCCATCGACCAGAAACCGTAGACGCGCTAACGGCAATGTCGGCGACGGCGATGTAGGTTTCGGCATTGTAGGCGGGACTGGTTCGTGGCCACACCAATTGTAGGACATGGTGGTTCGTGCTTTCCTACAATTCCCTGCGCCGTTTTCGCTCGATACATTCGCACATTTGAAATGTAGGAAAGTGTGCGTCGTGATTTCTTGCAACTTGTTCTGCGCGAGCTCGGTGTCACAAAAACCATATTCCCAACATCGCCGTTAACCAACGTCGCCGTTAGCGCGGCCTTGGGAGAAAGGGCAGGGCCTCCATCACTGTCCATCCTTCTTGGATCCAGGAAGATGCCCTGCTGGGGGCCGCTGGGGCCGCTCTTGGGGGGCTTTTCGGGGACTGCTCGGACGCCTCTCTGCGACCTCTCGGGCCGCCTCTGGGCCATCTTCTGAGGCCTCTGAGGCCCATCGGGTGCGGAGAGGGAGAGAAGGCCATCGACCAATATGGGCAGGGGCTTCCATCACTGGATCCAGAAAGATGCCCCACTGGGGGCCTCTGGTGCCGCTCTTGGGGGGGCTTCGGGGCCCACCTGAACGCCTCTCCGCGACCTTTCAGGCCGCCTCGAGGCCATTTTGCGGCCTCAGCGCCCTATCGGGCGCGGAGAGTCGGAGGTTGATAGACCTACCCTGGCACGTCGATTAGCGAATTGGCCTTTTTCGGTTCGCGAGAAGGCGTCGCGGCCGTCACTTCTGCGGGTCCAGGTCCGTCGGTTTCGGTCCTAGGCCGTTGTCACTAAATGGAGGCTTACTGAAGGGAGGTTTGTCCGCCGCCGAGAGAGGGAAAGAAGGCCAGGTTCAGTGGGATTCAGCTGCTCCCAGCCATCCGTCCCGTCTTCCTGTGTTGTCGGGTCCTCGTCTTCTCTCCGCTGCTCTGCGCGTCTCGCCCTCCTCCCTCTCGCTCCCTCCTCCCCCTCCTCCCTCCCGCCTCCCTCTCCCCCCTCCCTCCTCGTTCTCCTCCTGCTGCCTCCCTTCCCTGGCGCTGCTGCTGCCCTGCCGCCTCCCAGCCCTCGGCACCCCTCACGCGGGTCGTGCCCCAGATGGAGCCCCCCTTTGTGGCCCGAGGCGGGGTGCCCGCATGCGGGTCTCCGTCTCGTGCCCGCGCGCCCGGTCGGGGTGCCCGCACGCGGGCCGCCAGCTCGTCTCGGCGCGTCGTCCGCAGGGACTGTGCCCCCCCAGAGGTGGCTCCACACAGCTCAAGGGAGGAAAAAAACACCCAGACCGGACAACTGGCGCTTACTAAGCGGCCCCCGGCGTTTACTAAACAGCCCGGCCCTGTTTGATTCCTTATTTTGGTTGCTTCGCGTGTCGGGGTGGTTATGATTGGGGTGGATGTTCTGCCCTCCACATGCGGCCCACGCCCACCTCGGCGCACCCCTCACGCGGATCGTGCCGCCAGGAGGCAGCTCCACCTGCGCCCCCTGGTCGCGGGCCTCGCGCAGATCATCCCGGCACGGCCCCCACGCGGAGTGTGCCCTCGCCGGGGGGTCAGTGCGCGCCATGGGAGCTTGCTCCGCGGCCTCCTCCTCCACCTCCTCCTCTTCCACCTCCTCGTCCTCCTCCACCTCCTCCTCCACCTCCTCCTCCTCCTCCACCTCCTCCCCGTCCTCCTCCTCCTCCTCCTCCTCCTCCTCGTCCTCCTCCTCCTCCTCCTCCTCCTCTTCGTCCTCCTCCTCGTCCTCCTCCTCCTCCTCCTCTTCGTCCTCCTCCTCCTCGTCCTCCACCTTCTTCCCCCCTCCAGCTTGTGGTGGTGGTGGTGGAAGACAGGCCCATCAGCTCGGGCATCTCGGGCAGGACTCCGCGCAGCCCATGTGCGCGCACTGCCCCGAAGACAGGCGAGAGGAGGGGGCCGCGCTCCGCGCGTCACGGAGCCTGGCCCCTCGCAAGGCTGTCTTTGCTATACTTACCGTGTTTGGGCAGTCATCCTTTGGAGGCCTGCCCTCGGAGCTTCAGGGCCCCTCTTCCGAAGAAAGAAGAAGACGACATGAACGTAGACTTTTGGAGCCCTCATCTCTGGCGCTCGGAACGCGCCAGGGGCGGCGCCGGAGGCGCCGCCGAAGGGGGCCCAAAGGGCATCCAAGAAATCCGCGCGGAGTTCCGAACGTCTCTGGTTGTTTCTACGCTTACCGAGCGCGTTCCACTACTCGCAAAGTGCCTTCGCGCAAACGTCCAAAACAGAACATGTCTTCTTTACGTAATGCATCGTGAACTTCCCGCGGCGGATCCAGGCCATTTGCGAGTAGTTGCTTTGCGAGTCATGGAACGCGCTTGTCTACATGCAGTTCTTTCGTCCCTTTTTTGGGGGGCCCCTCGGAGCCAACCAGGTCAGATTGTGCCATCCCATCCGCTTCGTCCCGCTTCGCCTCGTCCCCCTCTTCTTCGGCTCCCCCCCCCATCTTCGCTCGTGCTGCGCCCTGGCACGTGGGAGCCCGCAGGTGGGGAGGGACTGCACGCTCTTCGGCTTCACGCTGGAGTTCGACCTCCTGTCCATAGGCCATGCGCCATGCCGCCCCTCGTCTTCAGGCGGGCATGCTGCAGGAGGGAATCTTCAAACATAGTCAAACCATAGTTTGGATACGACTTTTCAATTTTGTTAGTTTTTATTGTATATGTGTATTGCACTTTGTTTTGAACACGTGTTTTGATCATGTATATATTTTTCGTTCAAAATCCGCCTCTTAGGGGACATGCCCGACCTAACCCTCGTCTTCCCGCGCCTCAAGCGGGTGAGCACGCGCTCTGCGGCTCAGCTCTAGAGATGCCTGCAGGGCAGTGGGCCCAGGCGCAAACCTCGGCCTCCGGGTCCGAACATGGACAGTGCTGAACACGTGATCGTTTTTATCCATTGTTATGCCGATCGGCGCGGGCCCTCGCATCCCCCCCTCCCCTCTACCCGTGGAGTAGATCTTGGTTGTTTTTGGCGCCTGTTTCGAGCAGGTGGAGCCTGTTTCGAGCAGGGGTCTCAGTTCGGGGGCCCCCAAGCGGGGTGGTCACCACACCGTGTAGTGAGTCGGTGGGGACTCGGGGTCACCGCACGGTTTTGGGACTCGGGTCGTTCTCCGAGGACGTCTCGGGCGACTGGGGCATCTGAGGTCCCAAACCGTGCATTGACGGACCGTGCGGTGAGGTCTCGGGGGATTTCGAAGTCACCGCACGGTCTGTCACCTCACCGTTTCGGGACTCCACATCAGTGCTGAGCACTGCTTTCAACGCTGGGGTCTAAGCTGGAAGCCTGCGCTCTAGGCTGAGCTATCGGGCAAGACCACGCAAAGCATCGCTGTTTCCGGGACTGACTTGGGCGGCCTTCCTCTTCTTCCTGGGTCTCTTCCTACCTCCTACTTCTCATGTTGAGAAAGTGAGATTCTGGATGTATCCGGCCCTGCGGACACTCACGTGCGACTCGGTATGGATAGCTACTCAGGCTTCGCTGCTTTCGCCGAAGCTTGGACCCCACCCCTTACGTCTGGTCGACCAGACGCGAAGCTTCCCCCCTTTTCTAGAATGATGCCCCTTTCGCCGAGCGCTGGCCTTCCCCGCCCACTTGTCTGTAGCGGTGGCCTGGTGAGAGGCCCTCCTAACCAGCGGACTGACCGTCGATGTTGCGCCACAGCTCCGCTTGGCGCTTCGCCACCAGATTTGTGTTCATCGTTCCCTGGGCGGTGTCCTTCACACTTGGCTCATGGATCAGTAACAACCTTCGTGCCCCCCACGCTGGTTGGTGGGACACCCTAACTCTGGAGTGGCCCCACGAAGTGAGTTGGCCACTCGACATGTGTATACAATTGCGGTGCCGTGTCTAAGCTTACCGCACAAAGCGGCAGCGTTGGAATAGAATCGGCAGCAGCCCCAGCGGCGCACCCGTGAAAAAGGTGCCGGTGAAAACGGCGCTGGGTGGAGCATGCGGCGCCCCACGCCCCCGTTGCCAAAGCCCCCAGAGCGGCAGTCGACAGAAGCCCGCAGCGGCCTGCGCGCCGCAGTGGCCGCCACCCGCGGAGCCCGGCCAGTGTGACCAGGCTGACCGAGGACTTTTTCGCGGTGCTTCCACTCGTCACCGTATCGTTGCCGCAATCCGCAGCGGTGTCGTGCAGTTGATGGCCATGCCCAAGAACCACCCCTCTTGCCTCCAGGGTGCCTTGGGTTTTTTTGGGGGGGTCTCGATGGTTTTGCCATGGAAAGCGTGACCTTCCCGCACCGAAACAACAATGGGCATCCTGGGGTCCCAGGGTTGGGTTTCTTGCGGAAGGTTTCTCGTGGTCGGGCTCCTACTGTAGCGAAGATCCTGGGGCGACCGCTGCGACCCGTCGACTTCTGTGATCACAGCCGATGGCCACCCCGAGGAGCCTGGCAGCGGCAGCGGGTGGCGGTGGGAAGTCCTGCTCCTGTCGCCGCGTCGAGGTGGCACGATTCTGATGCCGCTTTGTAAGCTGGCTCGTTGACGACAGGTCACCTATTATAGTTCATCAGAAGACGACGCATGGTGCCGCGTAGTGTCTACGTTCGCCTCGGCCGCGGATGTGGCCGACCCAGTGACCCCGAGCAGCGTGTTCAGGAACAGTTGCAGGAGGGTGTAGAACAGTTGCCGCAATCTTCGTGTCACTTGCACATCGGTGTTTTTACCCGCAGCTGCACTTCGCGTGTGAATAGACATACACGCATCAACATACACGTGCACACATACATACCTACGCACGCACGCACGCACGCATCTACACACATACGAAGTCATAACCATATCCATACATGTTTGCCTACACGCTATTGTGCCATTGTGAATAGTACGGTTATTGCGACTGTACTATCATTATTTGTCTCCTCCTTATTTCCATTCTTATTATGAATCTTAGTATTGTGATTATCATCATACTGATTCTTAGTATTGTTGTTACCCGTAAGGGCTTCCCCCCTGTCGCCGGCCCCCTCTTTATCACAATGGGATATATCAGAGTCGCGTCGGTGCGTCTCGGCGCTGCATTGGCGCATCTGGGAACATCAGCGCATAGTGAGACGGTGGCGTTATCCTTGTGGCCTTCGGACCTGCTGGGCTGTCTTGGGGTCCTGGTTGGTTCTGTGAAGCACTTTCGGGGGCCCTCCTGGGACGTCTTAGGGCCCTGTTGGGCTGTCTAGGGCACCTCTCGGGGCCTTCTTAGGTGCCGTTTGGCTTATCTGGGGGCCCTTCGGAGGCCTCTTGGGCCGTCTCGGAGATTCGAACGATCGAAAAGGCCAGAGTGCGAACGTCATCGAAGTGCCCGTGGAACATCACTGTTTGACAGCGTGGGCCCCCCACGGGAAGTTACTCCACTGTGGATGTCCAGGCTATGAAACCTCGGCTGACCCATCCAGCGCACGAGGCGCACCACGGGCGCCCACCAATCTGACACTAAGCGCACTTCTGGCTGTCTGGGGAGTGTCTCTGCTGCCTCTCGGGTGCCGTCCCTTGGGCCACCTCGGGTGCCCTGTGTTCCGTTTTGTGGCCATCATGGGGCCATCTCGGGATGTCCATGGTCCGTCGTGGTGTCTTGTCGGGGTCTCTTGGGGCCTTCGTGGGCCCTCTGGGGCCGCCGTGGAGTCATCTGTGGTTCACTCGGGGCGCTGTCGGGTTATGGAGTCTAGACGGGTCAGTGCCCTCTGTGCAATTGGCATGCTGATTGTATTCCGAATCGTTATTTTGTTGTTGGCTTGTTTTTGTGTCTCGCTCTCTAGCCCTCTCTCACTCTCATTCTGTGTATATACATATATACAAATATATGTGTACACGCGTTCGTCTGACAAGAAGAGACCATATGTAAGAGGACGAGGGTGAGCAGCACCAGCATGAGGAGAGGGACGGGGACAACACACTGGAGGAATGAGGGATGAGGGATGAGGGAGGGGGAGCAGAAGAGGGGAAGAGGGCATATTGAAGTTCCAGTGTGGTATCCGACACAGGGAGCGAAGACAACGTTGAGTAGTAACAACATCCACGTTTGGATCCGGGTCTGCGCCCATCTGCTCTGGTGGTCCCAAATGCTGCTCCAGATGCTTTGGCCTCCACCGCGATGACTTGCTGTCTTGCATTCCCTCGCGTCTCCTCGCAACACGGGCGTGCCCCGTGATTCAGGGTGTTTTCTGAAAGTGGCAGGCAAGTTTCAGCGACGCATCCTTGGAGGATAGAAGCACGTAAGAAGCACGCGTGTGTTTTGGGTTTTGGCCCCACGATGGAACTTCAGTGGCTCTGTGGCAGTACTCTCGCCCGCGATATCTGCGCTTGTGGCTCTGAGACTGTCCTGGAGTTCGTGGCAGTGCCAGTGCAGCGAAGGTTCGGCATGAGGGTTCGCACGTTCCACACAGAGGTAACTTGGTTTTGCCCTCCTGCCTTTCGTCGCCCCCAGTCTAAATTTCATTTCTGTGCCTGCGCCATCTCCCCATCTCCCCGATACGGTCGGGCTTACCCGCATGATAGATTCACATGTATGCGGTGTGCATGATTTCTACAGGTGATTGTGTGAATGTCGGCCTCGATTGCGACAACACATGCCACACAGTGGAGAACATGGTTCTCAAGATGGTTCCAGTCAGGCCCAGCTGCTGTTGCTTCTTTGGGCCGTACTCTTTTGTCAGGAATGGACTAGGGTGTTTCTTGGGTCTCCCGCCCTTAGAGAGTGTCCGTGCCCGGCGACCTCGGTGACCTCATTCGATGAAGCGGCTGGCTATGGCTCAAGAGTCGTATTTTAGCAGGGATGAGAAGGAGGATCTTATCACGGCAGTTACAGCAGTAGCAACGCCAGTGGACACGATGTTTGCTCCATCCGACAGTGTTTTTTGACGCTTGTGACCAGGTATTTTGGCACGCGTCAGAATAGCGCGGACGCCTGAGATGACGAATGCGCGTATTTTGCTCAATCTGCTCATTGCTTCTGGCGTCGACGATGGCCAGAAGGGCGGGGAAGAGCTTCCGCGCCGTGCTCCCACGTGGCACGGGCTTTGTTGCAGGTGACGGCTTGCGGTGTTGGGTCTGGCGCGATTTTGCCTTCGAGACGCACATTCGACCTCGGGAGCTCCACCTGTAGCCCTCGTGTGTGGGGGCATTCGCATGTGCGCCCCTGCTCAGATCGGCTCCGCTTCATACGGATCGTGCCCAATGCGGAGCCCCACTTGCGGCCTTGGTTGACATTCTCGCATGCGGCTTCCCCCGCCCATCTGGCATCCCAGCGACGATGATGGGAGGGGAAGGACGACATGAAGGAACAGGAGGAAGAAGGAATAATGGAGGAGGGATGTGGAAGATGAGGTATGATGGTTTCCTCCACCTTCTCCCTCTCGCCCGACGAAGGGAGGAGGGGAGAATCTCCTGCCCTGCAGCGCTCTATCCACACTGCCCCAGACTCCCTCCATGCCGCGGCACGCAGTATGTCAGGAGAGGCCACTCTTCGCTGCACGCAGCTGCATAGGGTTGGGCCTTTCACGCAGCCGCATAGGGTTGGGCCTTTCAGCAGGCCGATCCAATGTTAATATCATATTTTTGCATTACGTGGCCTTGCTCGAGGGCTCCTTGCGGGCCTCATGGAGACTTCTCCTTGGGGTCCGTTGTGGCAACCTGGGGACATATTGGGGCCCTTCGGGAGTCTTTGGGACGTCTTGCGCCGTCGTTTGGGCATCTTGCGTTCGTCTTTAGGCGTGCGATCTCCGGCAGTTAAGGGGCAGTGAATAGGGTTGGGAAGGGAAACTCAGGGGGTGTTTTTTTCTGCGACGTGGCGCTGCCATGGGGCCAGCACATAACGACCAGGCAGCCAACTGCCATTATGGCACGACCTATATCTTGCCGCCGAGAGCGTTCAATACCTTTCCATGGTTGCAATCACGCGTGGTGTCCTCGTCACCGTGTGCATGTGGTCCTTTTCTCGCTGCGTTTCCACGTTTGATATCTTTCATTCTTCAGCTGTCTGCGTCAAGCCCCGCAGCCGTGCCAGCCCAGCATTTTGGGTGGCTACCGTTCGAGTGGGTACGGGAGGGTGTCACGTGGAACATTCGTGCCTCCAGTCTTGGGAGAGCCGTGATTTGATTGATGAGGGTTTGGGATGATGATGATGATGATGATGATGATGATGATGATGATGATGATGATGATGATGCTGATGATGCTGATGATGATGATGATGATGATGATGATGATGATGATGATTGCGCTGACGACGATGCTGACGACGATGCTGACGACGATGCTGAGGACGATGCTGACGACGAGGCTGACGACGATGCTGACGGGATGGCATCCAAGAGGCATCTTGGGCCGTCTTGGGGCCGTCTTGGATGCCTCTTGGGCCCTCGTGGGGTCCTCTTGGGCCATCTTTGGACCGTGGGGGCCTCTTGGGCCGTCTTGGGCCATCGTGGAGACTTCATGGGCCGTCTTGAGCTGATGGAATCCCGAAATGGCGAGAACGCAAACAGAGTTCGAACGCCCAAGCGAAATCACTCTTGTGGCCCTTTTTGGCCCTCTTGGAAGCATCTTCGACCGTCTTGAGGCCATTTTCGGCCGCTTTGAGTCCATCGTTGCTCGTCTTCGAAGCATCTTGGGCCATCTTGGTGTCCTTGATTGCCTGCATGGGCCGTCTTGGAAGTTCGGGGCGCGGATCCGTCGTTTTTCAACGAGCGATCGCTGTCTCGGGAGCGCAGATCCACAGTTTTTCAAGAGGCATCGTCGTGGCCTCGCGCGCGTGTGTGTGTGTGTGTGTTTTTGTGTGTGTGTGTGTGTTTGTGTGTGTGTGTGTGAGTCCGAGTGTGTGAGTGTGGGTGTGGGTGCGCGTGTGCCAGCGATACTCCGCTACGAGAGGGGGTCCCTTTTTAGAGTAGGGAAACCCTACCAGACAGCACTTGGCATTACACGCCCACTTCATACAGGCACGGTGGCGAATTCCACTTCATGCCTGCTCTCCTTCACGACCTGACGACTCCCTCCCCATCCCCTCTTCGACCCCCCTTTTCCCCCCTCTCCTCTCTCTCTCTCTTCCCTCCGTCCCGCTCCACACACTCCCACCACCCGGTTCTCCCCTCTGTTTCGTCTTTCTGGCAGTGCGTGGGGCGGGGACGTGGGTGAAAGTTGGAGCTCTCCTCTGGCTGCGCGCGCCACGCCGTCCCCAGATTCCCGAGCCAGAGCTCCACACATGCCTGAGAGTAGAGGGCCCGCTCACAAGCCGCAATCATCGCGGAAACCGTCCCAGAAGATTTTCATAAGTTCTCCCCCCCTCCAATCTTCCAATCCTCCCCTTCCCCATCCTATCCTCCCCTCCTCCCTTCCTCCCCTCCTCCCTCCACTCCTCCCCTCGCCTTCTCTCGTTCCTCGCCTCCTCGCTTCCCCCTGGCGCCTCGCCTCCGCTCCTCGCCCTCCGTGCCGCCCCACGACCCCCCTCATGAAGCATCATGCAATCAGGGCGCATACGGTCGGACCGAGGTACAAGATCGAGGTCGGTTCGGGGATGGTGCCCTAGTGTTCTTCGTGCTTGTTGGATGCTCTTGTGCAGCCTGGGGAGGGTACCCTTACAGGTTCTGTGTGTTTTGGCCGACGGAGTGTCTCATGTTCTTGAGGGATGTTCTTCTGGCCTTGGTCCAACCGTAGGAAGGGTGAGCACCTTTCCAAGGCGACCCCTGCACCCATGCCCCTTCGGCCCATCCTTGGCCTCTTTCGCTGGCCGCGCCCCGCTCCAGAGGTGCCGACATGGCCTGACGAGGCCCTGGCATCCTTATCGTGCATCCTTATTTCACACGCCTCGATCGTGGTACAATGCCTGACCCTAGCAACACAATGAACTCGTGACCAACTTTCGGTAGGTTCGCGCCGCGTTGACGTGGCGGCGGCCCCAGCGCGGACGTGCAGAGTTGAACGCCCAGAATGTTGAGCGATCTGCGCCATCAAAGAGCCGCGACCGTTCGAGGTCGAACGATCCACGCGGCGTCAAAAACCAATGCCCAGGACATCGCGACGCGAACCAGCCGTAGGTCCCTGGTTTTGTGGGATCTCCCTGATCGTATGGGTGGTTTCGTTTGAGACGTCTGCGAAGCAAACTCAATCCCCGAGTTTTTTGGCCCTCCTTACTTAGGTCCCCTCTCAGAGGGTTAGGGGTACTTCTATGGCTCATCACCCCCTCCCGCACCCCAGGCCCGACCCCTGGTGGCTTTCGGGTCGTCCTTCGGGCCTCCAGCGACCGTTGGGAAAGATTCGGGCACCTCCGGAAAGCTCTGAGCTAGGCGCAGTTGCTGGAGAGCTGCAGAGCACCCCAAGGCGAGAACCTTCCCAGGCACCAACAGGGACTTCCGCCGAAAGTCAGCGAATGGCCGCCTCACACCCCCAGCGTGTTGGCCTGGTGAGGCTGGGCTCCTACAGCACCATGCAGAGACATAGCTTCGTGATGCCTGGCGCGGAGCTCGGCGATGGCGCGGTGCTGTTCGAGGAGTCGCAGGTCCTGAAGGCGAAGAGCTGCAGCCCTCTGGCGGAGGGAGGAGAGGACGACGGTGAGGAGAAGGCGGAGGATGAGGAGGAGAATGAGGAGGTGGAGTTGGAGGCAGAGGCGGATACGGAGAAGGAGGAGAAGGAGGAGGATGATGAGGAGGAGGAGGGTGCGGAGAAGGAGGAGGAGCAGGAGGAAGGGGAGGAGGAGGAGGAGGAGGAGGAGGAGGAGGAGGATGAGGAGAGGCGGAGGAGGAGGAGGAGGAGGAGGAGGAGGAGGAGGCGGAAGCGAATGCGGAGGAGGAGGAGGAGGAGGAGGAGGAGGAGGGGAGGAGGAGGAGGAGGGAGGAGGGGAGGAGGAGGAGGAAGGAGGAGGTGGAGGAGGAGGGGCGGAGGGTGAGGAGGGTGAGGAGGGGAGGGAGGAGGAGGAGGAGGAGGAGGAGGAGGAGGAGGAGGAGGAGGAGGAGGAGGAGGAGGAGGAGGAGGAGGAGGAGGAGGAGGAGAGAGGAGGAGGAGGAGGAGGAGGAGAGGAGGAGGAGGAGGCGGAGGCGGGGGCAGAGGAGGAGGAAGCGGAGGAGGATAATGAGGAGGAGGAGGAGGAGGAGGAGGAGGAGGAGGAGGAGGAGAAGGATTTTTTGAGGTGGACTGCTGCAGGCTAGGCTTCCCAAAGGACTAACGAGCAGGTGAACAAGAGGTTGGCAAACAAGAGGTTGGCGGGCTCACAAAACCCTCGCCGAAATTCAAACAACAGCTGCATGACCAGCGTGCACATTGCTTGGCCGATGCGACTGGCATGAGCGACCTAGCTCCTGTCAGGACCAGCCGAGTAGCAGCATGCTTGGCGGGAGCCACCAGCCCTGACTCTTCCCGTAGCACGGCTATCACCTCCGCGCCGTCAGAACAAAGCGACATAGCAAATCACAATCCGAGTGCCCGTGTCAAAACCAAAGCTCTCAGACATCTTCACGCCCGATGTTAAAGGAACCGTCGGCGCGACAGGTTCTGGAGGGCCGTCCAACTTGTCCGCCGATGACACCTCAACACTGGGAGGCGGCTTCAATCAAACTTGCATCGGCGGCAAAATTCGGATTTCACGAACAATGCATCATCGCATCCAGACTGCTGCAATGACCCCGCCGAGCCCGCCGCCTCAACCGAGGGAGGCGGCGCCAAAACAGCAGCGGCAGCAAGTTCGGAATCAACAAACAACTCGTCATCGCATACACAAGGCATAGACCCCGCCGTGCCAGCCACCTCTGCCGAAGGTGGTAGCTCCAAAGTGGTATCGGTGGCAATCGGATCCTTCTCTGAGCAATTCGCCATCGTACCCCACATGCCCGCAGAAGTCAAGATGCTCTGGCCGAGTATCGAGTGTAATTGATGGCGAGCGCTCCTTAACCGAAAGGCGAACCTCAAGTGGAGGTTCAGCGAAACATGTACGCGAAAAATAGTATATTGTGCAAAGGAAGTGCGAGCCCCAGATGAAGGCTCAGCCAAACATGCAATTGATGAAACCGCTGTATCCTTGTGTTTCTTGGGTCTCCTCCGCCGGCGCGCGCGTTCGCCGATGAAGAACTCCGAGGCCTTCGCCTCCTCCTGGGCGGTGTACGCACGAGACGTGCCCGCGGCGGCGGCACCAACGCCGCCGGGCTGCTCGAGTCTGCCTCCGCCGGCGGGGGGGCCGGTGGCCATTCTTTCAGGCCCACCTTGGCACCTTGGCGGGCGTCCTTCTTCTTCTTCTTCTTCTTCGGCTTGCGCTTGTTTTTGTCTTCATCTTCTTTTGGCTTGCGTTTCCGGAGGCGCCTCTCTGCCTCGGCCTCGGCCGTCGCGGGAGCCGCAGGCGGCGATGGAATCATTTTCACCTTGCTCTTCAGGATTCGGAGTGGGAGAAGGAGGAGGGGGAGGAGGAGGAGGATTTTGACATCCACAGCCACAGACCCCAACTCAATGAGGCAAAGCCAAAATTCAACAGGCGATTGGCAGTCGCCTGAGGGCGCAAAACGGCGCAGGCCGCGCCACGGTCGGGGCCATGCCCCCGTGGCGCGACCTAAGCGCGACCAGGGAGCGCAGGGAGACCGTGCTCCGCGCTCCCTGGTCGGGGTAGGGGGCGCGAGCACGTGCTCAGCGCCAACCCTACCCACCACCCACTCCGTGGGTGGCCGCGTTTTACGGGCCCCGGGACCACGACACGACGCGACACGACAGGGGGACGAAACGAACGACACGACACGGACGACACGAGACGGACGAGCGACACGACAGAGACGAGCCGCCAGCCCCGCCCCAGGGCGGCGAGCGCTGGGGGGGGACCCAGCACCGCCCTGGGGAAGCACACGGGGCCTGGCGACCCCCCCGGGGGAAGGAAACCGCACTTTGGCGGCGTCCCCCGGGGTGCGGGGGATTTTCGCCCCTCGGGCCCGGCGCTCCCCGCCTGCGCCAGGAGAACCCTGGGGTCCCGACCCCTCCCCTACGGGAGGGGCCCCCTCGGGGCGGAGGAGGAGGAGGAGGAGGAGGAGGAGGAGGGGGGCAAGGATGAGTTTTCTTCTGGATTCCAAGGACTACAGCCAATATGAGTAAGATCAGTAGCCTGATGCGGCAGAGGTCATAGTATCTAGCCTGTACACATGTGTACCTGCGTATCTGCTTGCAAACGGAATAACTTGAGAGGAGCTATGTCGAGGCTGGAACAAAACATGTGCAATGGACAAGCCTGTCGGCGGCGAAGAGTTTTACAACGATGCGTGGGACTACAGGAAGGTCGTCTCAGGTGCAGCTGTCGTGCGAGCTCTGCCGCAACAGGGAGCAGCGCCAGGCCCGAAGCCAGGGCAAGAGTGAATCTCAGCGAAGCCAGGAGACCGACGAAGAAGAGGGGGAACCCCAGGAGGGGGGGAGGGGGACACCCGGACGGCGTGGAAGTCGGGAGGGCGACGAGCACCTCGCTTGTCGGTTCAGCTGTGAGCCGAGCTCCAGAAAAGTGGCCCAATTCATGCAGTGCTGGCGGGCAAATGGGGGGACCCCAGCATCTAACTCAGCTGCCGCATTGCAGATGCCGTCAGCGTCGGCATTGAACTCGCGACGCACATAGCATCCTTCCACTGCGTCCACGCCAGCCATGGACCGCAGAGTCGAGAGAAGCTCCATCCCGTGCTCGTCGGCTGCTCGCAGATTTGCCGTCAATCACCGCCACTGACAACAACTTCCGCGCGCAAGCAGAGCGTCCACTTGGAGCAGCACGCGGTTCTCGGGGTACTGAGGCTCGTGGCGGGCAGCTAGGTGGAACCAACATATTCTGCGGCGTACGTGGCGTTCACCAAACACTTGCCGCATGATGCAACTGTGGGTCGCGTGCCTGCCTGGTAACGCACGCAACCGCAGGATGAAGCGCGACCGCGCGTACCGATTTGACCTGTGGCTGCGCCATCGGAGGACTTCTGGGACTTCTGGCGGTTGGCGGGCGCGGATTGCGCGTCGTTCGCCTTACGACGTATTGGCCGAGCTGTCCGTAATCCACAGGTCGTCAAAAAGACGGCGCGCTTGCGTAAGCATACCTCCCAGAAGCTGAAATTCCCAACCCTGCAACAGCGGAAAGGGGGGGGGGGGGGTTGGAGGCGTAGGAGGAGAAGGAGGAAGAGGAGGAGAAGCCGCAAACGTAAGTTGTCGGGGGGGCGACCCCATGAGCATGCAGGGGGAGGAGGGGCCGCTAAGAGCTCCACTTCTTCGAAGCACGGGTCCCCAGCGAGACGAATCCACAATATTCCCACAGGCCCGTCCACGAGCACGATGCCAGGATACCATGCAGTTTGCGCAACACGGCGGATGCTCACCCACTAAAGGGCCCACCGACACTCCTGACAAGATTGCGCACTCGAAGAACTCACTGCACCTTCACATGTCACGTGGAGGAACAATTGAACAGCCCAGTTCTCGCCGACAACTGATACTGCTATCCAACATCAAAAGACTGTGCAGCACCACCAACTGACGTCAATAGGGGGAGGCTCACCCACGAAAAGGGCCCTCTGGCACCCGGATACGACTGCGAGCTCGAAGAACAAGAGACACCGCCAACCGATGGATGATCACCATCCCCAGAGTCCCTGACACCCCAAGCAGAGATCGCCTCCAACGTAACATTGAACTATCCGAGTCGGACTGCAGGAGATCCGAGACTTCACCAGGTCGACCAGAAACACCTACCTCGCAGCAGCACCTCAAGTACTGCCCTGCACACCTTCGATTGACCAACGACGCCAGTAGCCTCCTGCCACTTCAGCTCGAAGCTGAACTCTGTGATGACACCTGCTGCGTGCCACCTCATAGGACTGCCAGTGCCCATCGGAAAAGTAGCAGTTGCCCTTACCAATCGGGCGATGCACCCTGAACACGTCGACTCAGTTGCACTCAGATGCCCTTGCCCAGAGCCACATCGCCGCCGCGTGGGTACTGATATGACGCATCACGGATTCGCGCGTGAGGCCGTGCGGGAGACGCCGACGAATCCCGATCTCCCACCATTGTGGATGCACTCTTCGAGGTGTTGCACCTCCCGCACCTCAACCGCATACTCGAAGAACTCTCCGTATGAGCCACCATATCCGTTCAGCTCTTTCTCAACCAGCAGTCCGTTGGCGGGTTCGGATCATTCCTGTTGTCCAGGCTTGACCAGCACAATCTATCTAGCAGACATGCCATCCCACTCCGCCAGGAAGATATTCTTCAGCCGTAGCATGCGGGTCGCTTCCAACATGGCAGTCAGGTTCAATAGTCCGTTGTCCCCCATGAGCTCCTTAGGGTCCAGCGGGCCGCCCAGCTGGGCCCGCGCAGCTAGGTTTCGGCCGCGTGCCAGCCGTCGCAGCTCCGCATCTGCTGCATGGTTGCATGCCCTTGGTTGATAGCCAGGAACCGCGCCAACTGCCGCAAGTATTGATGGCGCGCTGCCTGACTTGAGGAGGCCTACGGCCTCGATCATGCGGGCCTGTAACAAAGCTGGCGCATCTGCCGATCAAGTGGCCGAGATAGTCA